CATATCATGACTGGAGGTGATGCATGTCCGGTAATTACTGAACCGATTGCTTGGCATTGTTTCATGGACCGAGGACATTGCAGACTCCACATAATCCAGCAGTTTGCTCAGAAGACCGTAGGCGAACCGAGCAGATGGTTGAGTGTCTACATAATATGAGTAGTTTTATAACAATGAGCGGGAGACAAGGGATTTCACAGCTTCTCGATAGACAGAAGAGGAGATCTGCTCTTTTGTATAGCCACAAACTCAGCATTACCTGAGGTAAAACAAGTTCAATAAAAAGTCAATTTCCTTGACATGTCTACTTCCCCAATGTCTGTAACCTCCTCTCAGCTGATAAACAAAATACAAATAGTTGTTTGGCGTAAAATAGAAAAAAACGCGTATGGTTTTAACCAACTAAAGATTACCTCCTCCATTTCACCATTTATTTTTCACTTATATTTGCATTCTATTAATCGATTCCTTCGTCCCATTTCTTACCCCGTACAGTGTTGGAACCTTGTCTGTTTAGAACTGTAGGCGCTCAAACTTTGGCCCTCATGACCTGGGCACACCAGTGATGGCAACTGAGTGGCTTGGTTAACCATACCCAGTGGGGGTGTAGCAGCATACTAACATGATTATCACTGGGAAAGTTGAGTAAAAACCATCTAATATTCCGAACACTCTTTCATCTGTTCACTACGAAAAGCGTACTTATCAGGATTCGAAAAGTTCCTTCTTCTTGTTTGTGTCATTATAACTGATTTCAACACACACTGATAGTTCAGAAGGAGAGTTGGAGACAAACCTTCAAGTGACCATCACTCCAAAGCATTTGATAAAGAAATAGTGATCTGCAGATCTGCAGGTCCGTCCGAATGAATTATTACCCGTTATCTTAAATTCAAGTTTCCTGGAAATTCAATTAAATGCGATCAATGCCAAATAGGAATATCAGCTTTATTTGCCACTGATTTCTCACAACTTTACACTCGACAGCCTGATTTTATTTCCCGGGCCCAAACTTCAATTAGAAACATCGTAAGATACTACATGGTTCCAAGAAAATCAGTTGAAAGTCAGACACTGCGTAATACAATCAAAATTCCCTATCTTCGTATTATTGAAAATTTTCCTTCCAGACTGAGGGACACGAATATGATAATAAAAAGTACACCGCAACACGGCAATCGGATTGAGTACATTCACGCGCACAAAAACAGATTCATTAGCAGTTGAGCAAACACAAGACTAAGGGAAATCGATGCACATAACTACAACATGCAAAAACAAGCATGATGGAAATTTCTTACCAATAAATAAGGACAAATATACCATAAAATAATGACGAAGAGAACGCCATTAGGTCCACTTCAGCGGCAAACTGCTGTTGGCGGTCTTCAACAAAGCTAACTATCAATAAACTCACACCCATACTTTCCACGCGGTCTCATCTGCCATTGATCCTTCGTCTTGTTCCCTGGGTGATAATATAAATACGTACATACATACGCAGTTAACAGAAATATCCGTAACCGGATTGTTCAATCATTCTAGATTTACAAGGTGATCCTGATTGATTCAATTGCACTTAAAGGAACGGCATCCATTGCTTCCAAAGTACAATGTGAATGCTCGTTCGTTTTAATTCGTCTTTCGCTCTCTCCTATACCTCCACAACTAAACTTACCCCTGACATTTTTTGCGCTCTGCGATTTGCGATTCCTCGACCTAAGGAGAAATGGGCGCTTATGCTCGCACGAAATATTTGCATAGATCGATAGGATGTGTCAACAACGAGGGTCATTTTAGCACTAGCTAAAACGGAAACTTTACCGACCGGTTCGAGTCTTTAGAATGGTCGGTGCTCTTTGGTTTTCTACATCAGGGATGTACGACCTAGCAAATGGTAACGTTACAAACTAGTGACCAGGCAGTCGCATATCCGGCCGAGGGAGTACAAGTTGTGAGAGTCTCTGAGATTTATCCAACCGCAGTAACAGATTCAAAATCGGAACGGATGTTATTCAAAGTGGCAAAAGAGTCAGAGGTGAATTTAGTTGTGCGGGGTCACAGGTGAGAGGGAAAGACGAACGAGAAATCACCATGTATGAGTTTCGCTAACCAATCGCCTTAAATGACAAAAAGGACACCAAAGCCATAACGAACTGCAGATTGCTTTGTTGTTTAACCACTTTGTGAGCCCTCCCTTCCTTCGCTGAACATGCTGGCTTAAACATGTAAATCCGTTCAATTGTTCAAATTTCGTGGAGGTACTGAATAATTCTCATCGACATTCTTCTCACCCAGTTGACTCCACCAAACCCGGCCCCAGTTCGCTAAGTTCATTCTCTCAATCCCCTGTTCCCCCTATCGGCCAAGCATTGACTTGGCGTATCCGATTAAACTGAATGCCAACTCACGATCACTTGTGCAATCTTGATTGGCCCTTTCTCTGTTCCATTATGTTGATCAAGTGTGCGTGTGTTTGTGAACACGAAAGTGTGCATGGTAGACGGACTTGGATTTTCGATTGGCTATCTATGCGCGATTCCTGTTCTCCACCTTAGAGGATGCCTATTGAACACACTCCTATCTTGACCAGCTCACTGTGTGACAAACTAAAGGCATGAAAACCTGCATCAGTTTAACTCAAACCGCGAAGCAAATCACGGCGAAGAAGTACAGTTCTATTGGAATCCGATCCATCTTGTTATGGTAGAAGATATTAACGAATAGAATTTGAGATAAAGACGTTGAGACACAAAATGCTCGATGATCATAAACTAAAAACAAATGATTTGTTTAATGAATGACCTTGAGAGCTCAATGAATCCAATCCCATATTCGATGATTTGCGCGTGGACATCTAGATTTCCATGATGAACTCTGCATGCGCAGTTGAACGTTTTCTAGATTTTCACACTTTTCATGGCCATGGTTCCCAGTTAACGTGTTGTAGATATGAAGGATAACAATCAGAATTTAGGGGTCCAACACCATGAGATGAATTAAATCCATTTTTTCAGTAAAATGGAACGGAACTTACTAGCGTTTCTTCCTTCGACGCGGCGACCGGCGTCGGCACCAGCCGCACCAGAGATACCTTGCTGGTTGCTTCCCGAGCGAAGAGAAAGTCGATAACCGTAGTATTGCAAATACTTGATCAACTCATGAGTTAATCGACGGTAGCGCTTACGCTCGTTGTCCGTTAAAATTTCATATGGTACAAGGAGCTGATGGACTCCACCACCTGGTTAATCGTAAAAGAAGATTGTAAAGCTGTTTTATCCTATTCATAACAATATAGTAATGGTAGTAATAGTATTGATAATAACAGTAATAGTAATAATAATAATAGTGGCCGATGCAACTCGGCATATCATGTTATTATCTGATAGAATCACGACATATGAACCTAAAAGTGATAGTATCGTCTCGTAAGTATACTTGATTTCCCTAACTGATGGTGATTTTACATCAGGTTATTGTAAAATTGTACAGCCAATAACTCAAAGACACTTCACAACTAAGTTCACCACAGAATACATCGGAGTGCATGTAAAAAGAACAGAACCATACCTATTGCTTCCAAGTCACTCATCTTCTGTCTCGCCCAAATGTTGTGTGCATTATCTGCCAGTCGTTCTGCGAGATTGAGCATTTCTTTGGACACGTTCACACCGCGCAAATCCCGCGCATTCGGAGTGTAAGTCATCATCATTTCAGGCTGAAGCGATGCACAGGTAATGATAACGTAAGCTTAGGTTTTTATTACAACAATTTACATAAGCTGGTAAGCTACTGAGGTCAAAAGGAACTTCTGGAAAACGTCAGTCACTTCGTTTTGAATACAAATAATAAAACGTTGTTAATCCGCGTCACCAATGATGTCTCTCCAAAACACATGTTCGGTTCAGTTTGTACAACCATTAACCATACACTTTCGTATGCCGGTTTTGTTTGCTGTTTTTGGCTGAGAACTAAATGAAGGATCACGTGAGTATTATCCTATCGGGTCAGCCATTTGACCCTATTACCATTTTGTTGCGAACCACAGACCTTATGGCACATGATATGGCATTAACCCCACTCTGTTTTTCCATAATTTCTCGATCAAACTTGGTTCGATCATAGGACAACTCGTAACCGCATAAAGAAACGAAACCGATTTTGATTAAGAACTAACTATAATGACTTATTCTAGAAAATGTTCCCCAGCAGTGTGAAATGCTATTTACTTCACCGCAGAAAGTGATGAGAGTACCCGAGTGATGAAAAAAACAGAGATTTTTATTGTTCCTGACTAAAGCGTAACGCTCAGGAGTGCTTCCGATCACATTCCGAATTGTCTGAATATTGAAATGGTTCCACTTGTGAATGATAACTGTTTAACTCATAGACAGTGGGCAGTAATCTTGAGAATACTGATGCCCAGGTCTTTTTAAGTGAGTGTTCTTCCTTTTTTTCAACTCCGATAACCCTGAATCGCGTGAAATTCTTCTGTTTTTGTAAACCTGGGGTCCTGGAAGCCAGCCACGATAATAGTCATCATTCGCATAGTGCAAGCAACGTGAATGCTAGCTTGTGTTGTGTGAATGAAATTAGTTATGACTGACTCATTCAACTCAAGTGGCGAGCTACGGAGTGCAATTTAATGGCAACACTCGGAGTGGGGTTCAGAGCACTTTGCACCCCCGGGGCACATTTTCTAGCAGCTTTCTAGTCAGCTTAGCTAAATCATAATCAAAACCGTTTGGTTTCTTTATACGGTTATGAGTTACCTTATCATCGTACCGAGTTTCATCAACCCGGGTGGTCTGGCACCGAGAAATTGTGGAAAACCAGATGGAGTCAATAGCTTTTCATGCACTACATATATTTCTCTGATCGCCGCGATTACGACCTGTTTGTGTGAACTTGACATACGCATCCCTCAGCAAACTAAATCTAAAAATTCCCACAATAGTGACGAGATCAAGACATCAATATGAACTCACAGCCAATGTTGGTCTCCGCATTTGTTTTCGATCCATTGAAGCTTCCTGATGTCTGGCGTCATCAGCATCAATAGTCCAACCGAGAGCCAGCATCGCCTTTAATGTGTCCGTAACCGGGTGAATATAGCGCATTTGATCCTGCAAATGAGATTCAGTCAAAACCTTTTCCATAAATTGTTACCAACTAAAGCTCAAATCACAGAGAACCCCTTAAAGAGACAAATAGCTGCAAAATTTGCAACCGATCTGGCATAAAAAGTCACGCTTCGTTAGTTGAGGGAGAACGACTAAAATAAACTATGCTTTACCACGATCTCCATACGTGCTGCATAGTTTCTGTACCCAAGTTACAATAGAAACTCTAAATGTAAACGTTGGAATTCCGGTCACAAATAAAAGCCTGTTACTACGTTACACAAGTAAACCTAGTTTCTATTTCATGGTACTATATATTGTCAGATAAACGGATATGCAAGGGACACCCATTCGACCTTTCTATGCTTGATTTTTGTGATTTAACTAGATAGGAGCACACTGAGCTCGACTACTGAGGGATTAGTACAATAGAGTACAGATTTAAATGATATCTTCAAAGTGACCGATCAAGAAAATGGCATCCCACAGATACTGGAACCATTTAACGACGTACGTCATTCACAAAACTTCATTGTAGAGGTTGAAACGATAATATCGGGCTTACTAAATGTTGCCA